ATTTGGATACACTTTGGTCGTTTGCACTGCCCTTTCCTCTTCACTTACCACTACTTTGCTTCATTTGTTAAATTACCTGCTGTCTTCCCAATCTCTGATGAAGCAAGACTGCAGATAATCATTATCTTGTTGACTTTCAGTCCATAGACTGACGTTGTATCTATAAAAACTCTGTAGTTGGAAAATACTATGATAAGTACTTTTTATTACAATCTGTCAAAAAGAATTATCAGTAGCACATCTGCCCATGAATATATTTTAGCCAAAACATTCCTTTCAGCATGGTATGCACCCATATGCATGTCTGGCTGCCTTTTCTTCCTTTAAAGTCTGCCTTCCTCTTGAATCCCTCTCTGGTCAACTATATACAACTCTGCACACTAGCAGAAATTAACTGAGGTCGTTGGAGGTTTCCCTTTACTTACTGCCCTTGTTAGCATCATTTACACTTACTTAGGATGTGCTGGTTCTCCTGACTGACTTAAGGTTCAACTGTAGGTTTATGTTCATGGACTTGCAAAGGGTGAGATGGAGGGATGTCAATTCAGACCTCGAAAACACTTGCCAGAGCTTGTCTTTACATATTGCCTGGCATCGTCCTGGGATTTTATGACAATGTCTTTGGCAACTATGGGACATATATGGGAAAGATTAGGTTTTGAAAGGAGAGGCTGCAAGAAGGGAGTCTCTTTCTATATTGGCCATTGGTTGGGGTGGGGGAGTTCAAAGGAAGAGTCCTCCGGCTGATAACAGATGGGAAGCATGGGGATGAACAGTAACCATAATCCCGAAAGTTTCTGACCATGCTTCGGGGAGAGTTCTGATATCTGCTCTGGACGTCAGGTTGTGGTTTTTCTTTTGTCTTTTCTTCTTGCCTTATTTTAGAACCTCCTCTCTCTTCTCATTAGCCACTCCTCCAGAATTGTAGCTGAGGAAGAGAGGGAAGTGTTGAAACTTGAGCCTGTTCTCAGAGTCTCTGTGGGTTACAGCCAGGACATTCTATCCATTTCCATGTCAGCCCATCTCTAAGATATTTTTTTTAAGCCTAAGAACAGTCTATTGCCAGGCGTCTCTTAACTGTAGATTATAAATAGTGTCTGGTTAAAAATGTTCTGGATGGGTTAATTAGAGTGGTGACTATTATTAAGCAAACTGCTTGTTAGTATTATGCCTGTTTGAACTTAGTATTGATGAGAAGTAATTGACCACAGAACTGCATTCAGAGAGGCAGAAAGGGTGTTGTTTTTTCATGTCTATTGTGGCAATAAATTGTTTGCATAAACATGCCCATGAAAATATGAGCTCCAAGGCACCAAGACTCAGATTGTGTGGGATGGTGAATGATATTGTTTTCTTTTATTTTCAGATTAATGTATTTGTCCAGCCTGCCTAAAAGCCAGCTTTATTGAAATAAAGTAGTTAAAATGTGTTTTATTTTCTGCTATCACTTTTACTGCAAAGTATATGAGAATAGTGTTTTTGACTTATCCCAACTAAAGGAGGTGCCCTGTTAAATACAGGTAATACCTAAATACTTATTTGAGTGCCAATCACTATAATAAATAGAATGTTTAACAATATGAAAAGATGTATAAGTAAGGGAAAAATTGCTTATAGCCACCTTCCTCTAAAGTACTGGATTGTTATCTATGTTATTTATTGGTATTTTGTCCAGCTCAATTATTAAGTTTCCCTAGCTCTAGCATTCCATGGGGAATTTATTCTATGAGCTAATAAATTATACCGTCAGGGAGTTTTTCTTGAAATTCAGCTTAAAATTTCCCATTCTTAATTTCAACTCATTATTCCTAGTTATACCCCCTTGTACCAGGCTAAATAATTATTCTTTCTCCTTAGAGATGCCTATTATGTATCCGTCTAGTTGTCACTTCACCAGGCCATTCATATTTAGCTCCTTTAATCTGTCCTCATAAATCAACTCTTCCATTGCCTTAATCATTTATTGCTCTTCTAAGATCTCTCTTGACTTTCAAACATACAGTTGTCATAGGCTTCAATGAAATCAGCATCCCCAGAGCCTCTGCTTCTCCCTACCTTTGCAGTAGAATCCAGAACCCTGGGTGCAGTTTACAGGGCCAAGTCAGCACTTGCTCATCTGGGCTACTTCAGAATGTTTTTAATGACATTTTCCTATGTCCATCCTTATTTCAGGACTGATTCACATTTCATGGGTTTGTGGGATTTGAAAACTCTTTGAGTTACTGTCTTCTTTATTTCCTGCATCTTCCATGGTCTTGTTCACTACCACCTATCAAGGCAGCTGCCATAACCTGTATTAACAGAAGAGTCTGATCATCCCCGAGAATGTTGGAAAGCATATGGAGTACAATCAAGCCTAGAAGCTGCCCACCAGGAAATTCCTTGTCTGTTATCAACTTCTATTGTTTATAGCTCTTTAGCCAGTCTCCTATCTCTTTTCATTTGCAGTTTCCCTCACATGCTGGACAGTATAAATGGATTTTAATAGAGTAAGATTGGCCATGATGTTCTTTCTAAAAATGAAGATGATGTTTCGATGCCCATTGATTTATTTGTTATTGAGAATCCTTTGTGCATGGTTTGTAATTTTGTCGGAATCTTTTTTTTTTCCTTTTGCTGACATTCTTTATCTGCATAAACAAGTAGACATATTTCTGCTGTTTTCCAGATGTGTCTGAAGCTAGAGACTACTTCTTTCACCATTTGTCCTTCTGTCCAGGAAGTTACAGATCTATGATATCCACACACATATCCATTTCGGTCATCAGTGAGAGCTTATGATGCACTCTTTGAATTTTTTAAGTAGAAAGTTCATTTGTTCCTGTAAAACTTCTGCACCTATGAGGTGGAATTACAATCTGTACATGCCCAGACTTCTTCCCATTTTAAATCAAAAACTATCTTACTATTTTATTAAGGTATTACAGATTTGGTCCATTCTTTGTAGTTTCTCTTTCTGTGCTGCCATCTGCTTAGCACTGAGGAAGGAAGGAGTTCTGTCTAACTCAGTAATTTTTCTCTACCTGCTTGAAATCAAAATAGATATGAGACTTCATAAAACAAGCATAGGAGTCCCGGAAGCTGTCTTTTGATTGTAAAATCTCCATTGTATGCTGTAAAAAGGCTATTCAGTTGACTTACACTCCCCTATGCTTTCTAGTGTTGCTTATCAGGCCTGGCTTTAGGCCCAGTTTACTGTCTCCCCCCATTCCATAAGCTCTGCTCTCATTCCTCATACACCTGTTTTGTTTGTTTTTGAATACCTTTCACTGCGTGTACTTCCTGCCGATCCCTTCCCCGAAAGGTGGCATATATGCACACATGTATATGATTTTAATTCTAGTCTCCACTTCTATTCACCTTGCTTGAAATAATAGATCTGAACTAATGGCTTCATGAAATAAGTCTTAAGATACCACACCTGGTATCTGAAACAGTTTTCTTTTATTTTTCTGTTTCATTTTCTCTTTCCTTCAGCATTACAGGAAAGCCGTTTATTATCTTTTACAAACCACCTCTTCCCAATAAATCCTGCTATTCATCACATATGTTACATTTTTTCTCTGTTTCACAACACTTTCCTGTCTTCAGAATCCCACTTCTTAACTTAGCAAGTGTCCTCAAGGAAATAGCCCTAAGTCCTTGTGCCTTACCCACCTATCCTCTTGCCTTTCACTCATAAACCCTTATTTCTGCATGGTTTCTGCCTACTGCTCCATACAGAGACTCTGTGAGCATTAGCAGCCATCAATGTGGGACAGGTCAAAGCGCTGAACCACCATCCTCCAAGACCTCTGAAGAGTCTTGTGTCTCTGTTTACATATCCTGTGGAGAGAGGCTTTTTGGTTCATCCCTGTATGTGCCTTTACTCTCTCAAAATCACTTTCTCCACTTGTGTTCTTTATTCTGCTTCCAGGAGGTTTCTTCCCCACCTACCTTATAAGTGTATTCTCTACTTACTCACTGACTCCACAGTTCAGGAAGATGCCTAGGCTCCGGATGGGGTTATAGAATTCTCCGAGTTCGGGCACCTGACCCAGCCCGCTCCTCCAGACCTGCATCCAGAACTCTGGGTTGTGTGCTGTTTCCAGATGAGGTCCTCTTCCTGCACATGCACTCTACTGCCCCCTTAATACAGGACTTGTCTGCCTTTCAAAATGTTCCAATTAAAACCCTCTTTAATCCTTTACCTGTCTATAAGCCAGGAGTACTTTTATTCCTCAGTTTCAAAAGTTAAAGTGTCTGTTGTATAGAAAGTGTTACCAATATAGGCCATTCGGCTGTCCTCTCACCTCCCTCCAACTCTTAAGTACCTGCAGTTTGGTCCCTACAGATGAACAAATCCTTGAGGTTAGATCTTGTAATGGTGTAGATGGCTCTTTGATTTTAGGTTATATTAGGATTTTTTAAGGATTTGATTTTATCTAGGTTCCTTGCACATCACTAGCAAATTTAACTCTGTTTGACAAAAGTGTTATAGGAAAACATAGAAATGAAAATTACAGAGAGAGTAAAATATACTTCAGGAAATAACAGATCAATTTAATAGAAAGCATATATAGGTTCCCAGGAATACAAAGCAGCCACATGAACAGAAATAGCAAGAGTTAACCAAGGAAGTTTCGAACATTGTTAGTGAATGATGAGAAATACTGTAAGCCAAGGAATGACTAGGAAACACAAAATAGGAATCCAGAAAGACAAATGAGTGGCAGATGATAAACTACATCTATAGTCTTGTGGTCTACAGTATGTGCCACACCCATTTGTAGCCACAAAAACTCTCTGGAAACTATTCAAAGACAGTTCTGACCAACTTCAAACCTTTGAGCTTTCTCTTGGTGACTAATACTTGTTGCATTTTCCTGAGAACTTTTGTCATAACATCTTCATTTTTCTCTCAGTTTTGTATGTCGTCACTGTGTCCTTATAGGAAGGTAAGGGACTAATTTTACTTTTTGTTTTCACAAAAACCATATTGCATTCCCTTTTTGTAACAGATTCATGCCCAAGCACAAAATAGCCCACTTAAGGAGGATGCTCAGCCTTAATGGAAATGATGTTGCAGCCCTGTCCGTGATGCTTCCTTCCCAACCAGAGCAGAGGAATTCTAAGAAGTTCTTGGAGAATTTTAAATCAAAGTCTGAGGAACACCCTGGCCTTGATGCTGGACAAGAAACCCTGACCAACCCATCAATCAAGAAATCAGGCTTGGAGAAGTCCAGCCTGTCAGAAGATAACTCAGGCTGTCTTCCTGTGAGCAAAAATCTAGCTCTTGATCCCAGCAGCCTTTTTTGTGGAGCTGATGATCAGCAAAGACCCTTGCACATCGCATGGCCCCACAGGTGGTAAGTCAAGACTTGCCAGTTTACTGTTTTTCAAAATGGGCTTTGATGATGGACTTTCTAACATGCTGTCCTTGTAGATTTAGAAAAAGATCACTTGAATTTGCATTTACAGTCTCATATGCTGGTTAGTATACTAGTACAGCACTGCCCATAACTGTATATTAATTGTATTTTTACTTTATATGTGAATTATAGATAACATTTGTAATAACTTGTTTAACTAGTAATAGCAGCCAGACACATTTAGAAAATCAAATCTTATACAAGAAGTTTCAAAGTAGACAAATCGAATACCGTTATTCAGAGAGTGGTGAGTGTTAATCCATAATTAATTCACATATGGACATCAGTAAACCACAAAACTTTTAAAACAATAATTTCCATTCTTTATTCTTACTTTGACCAGTGTCAACTGGACAGCTTCATTTTACTTGTCATGGTGTATTAGTGCATGTGAAGCTGTCTATCTTCTGCCAAATGCCTTTGTATTATGCTAGACAAACTGTCTAGCTGAATTTCTTCTCATCACAGGAAAGTCAATGCAGCATATAATCCCACCAAATATAAACTTGTAAACCTAGTCCTGGCTTCTATAAATTAGGATTTAAGGAGGTAAAATGTCCTGATAATCTTCTGGTATTAGGCATGAATATTTTAATCTAGTTTTTATTCCTCCCAGTTAGTTTAATCTGCATGTGGCCTGATTAGAGTTGCTTCCCCTACAGATTATGGCCTCTTTATTGCAGCAGTGCTGGGCTGATCATTAGGTCCGATTGAGAGCAACTGTTTGCAGGTGAAGTAATAAGCACACACACCGGCAGGAAAGCGCCTTTGCCCAGGATTTGCCTCCAAGCACATTAAAACTCCGCAAGCTCTCCCAGTTGATCTGCAGCATCTGGTACCTAAAGGGATTTTGTCTTTGATTCTAAATGCATGAACCTGAAATTTAGGGGCTAAGCGTTGTTATGAGATACGGTTTGGGGCTTTTTTGTTCACCAACACCCTTCCAGCATCTTGTTGTACTCAGAATGTCACAAGATTCAGTATTCTCTCATGTGATTTGAGATGCAGTGAGTCGGGAGGAAATGAACCCTATTTGAAGGTAAAATACCCATTCTCATTTACTGCCCTTTGAAAACCTCCCTTATTCCATTAAGCTTTGCTTCTCTCTGAGTGAATAGTTATTGCAAGAAAGTCAATTCTAAAAAGTTTTGTTCTGGATTTTCATAAAAATGTTAAATAATTTGGAGACTGTGGGTACAAAACAACAATGTACAGGCAAGATTGAAAACCATGTTATTCAATACTTTGCACAAAATTAGACAGAGCTATGTTAATAAAATTAACAATATTAAATTGAATAATTCCCTCTCTTCCTTTGTATATTTTTGCTTTAATTTAATTTAATTGCCTAAAGTTAGTTGCTTAAAGAGATGCAGCATGATGTTTGTGCACATTCTTATTGTTAAAGCTAAATTATTTTTAATTTGGAGAAGAGGGGAAAAAAGCCACATCAGCAAGAGTAAATGCCAAAATATAAAAGTAACACATTCATCCTTACGGGTAATATAGTAGAACATTGGAAACTTGGAGGTTGCCAGACACATAGCTAACATTAGGGCTAATTTTGAAAATCTAGCGTGCAGTCAATTTTACTGATGCCTGGGGACATACAAGGTAGAAGCTGACAAGAGAACTAATTTTGTTTGGGTTATTTACTGCTATGCATCATCCACGGGTTCCCGCCTGACACACAGCTATATGAAGGGGATATTATCACACACTAAAAATTTATGTTGACATTCGATATTTGTTCAATATGTCAGCAGTATTACTTTCATAATCAAAAGAGTAAGAAAAAGAAAAAAGAAAAGCACTTTATGCTCATATAGATATATCTTTTTAATAACAGTCTATAAGGTTAATATAGTTTACCTTTGAGAGTATACAATGAAAACAAGCAGGGTTAGGAGGGGAAATGACAGAAAGCATCAACCCGAGCTGTTTGTTTGCCATTACCTACGCGAGCCATGTCAGCTCTCTGGCCCGCGTCTGATAGCTATTTGTTGTACAGAGAGCACAGCATAAAAAAATATCAAACTCTTAATACTATTGTGTGCCCATAACCATCTGTCACTGCTAGCCTGGAGATGAGAGGAAGATTAGGAGGAATAAACACTGAGCCGCCGAGCATTGGTAAAGCCTTCGGGCAAAAAACTCTTGTGGGGACATCAAAGACATTCTAATTCCGAGGCAGTCAAGGATTACAGTGTGTAACCTGTGCTGACAACAGATAAATGACTGGCAATATTGTGCCAGAGCTGTTGGGTCCTGCATGGAGTACTGATGATGATGATGATGATGTTATCTTGCAGAATGGACTCTGCTGGGATAATTTTATGATAAAACACTTTTTTCAAATGCCACTGGGTCTAGGCAGACATTTACTAGCTACAGGGGTAGCAATCAGTTTCTTCAAAATTTACTGTTCTAAGCCCATTAGAGTTCCGGCACAGCAAGACTCTTCAATGAAAAGCTAAAATGCCTATGTTTTCTTTAGGAGAATATATGCAAATGTTGGGAGCTGAATTCCTACCCTTTAGTGGTAGGTGCTTTATCATCTGATTTATGTAAATTTGCTCATAAAAATCCAGTTTATTTTTAATTGGTGAATATGAATTAGAAAATTAAGACTGGTTCAGCATTCATCCCCAGCTTCAAGCACACATTCATTTAGACTTCCAGTTGTATGGCTGGAAATCCCATCATTGACCTATCACTATGAATTGTGTTCTGAAGGAAAGCAAGATTTCACTGGAAATGAGCAGGGCTGTCTGGGTCTCACATGCAGCCCTGTTCGTTCACATCTCCATGCTTAGGCTTACTGTGCCCTTGTCTGCACCTGAGCCACTTTTATTCCTGGGTTTCTTCTGAGTAGCTGTGGGAAGCTCTGCTGTCTGTTGCATTTTTGATTGGCCATGCACATCTTCCAGAGAGGTGTTTCAGTACAGAATATACATAAAGGAGAAGTGGACAGGAGAGATAGAACTACCATAGACATGTCATAAGAAATATGCATGAAATCATGCAGTTGGAGTAGCTACCTGGGATGAAGTGATGGTGATCTCACTGTGTTTCTTCCATGAATGGTCTCAAACAGTGTTAGCCTCTAACATATCTTGTACTAAGTCAACCAAATGTAGAACCTCCTTGGGAGAATATGTATCAAAATCAAAAGTGACATTTTTAGAAGATACATTCTGGCTTTGTATCTGTATTAAAATGTCTGCAAGGTTTGCCCCTCTTTAGTCTTTCTGGATTGAGATTGTCAAGGATTATAGTGTACAACCTGTGCTGACAGTAGATAAATAACTGACAGTATTTTAGCAGAGTTTCTGGGTTCTCTCCAGAACAATTTGTTTTCACCTTTCTACCCAGTCTTTAATGTCTTGTTATAAACATCCTTAGTATGGCACAGCTAATAGAAATGGCTTAGAGAAAGACCTGTGAAAAACACTGTGTTTGACAATGCTTGTTTTTTAAAGCTGTTTCTTTGCAAATAGTACAGCATCATACCAGCTTCCAACCTGTATGTGAATATTTCTATATCATAATCTGAACAAAGACATACTGCTAGATGGAGAGTCAAAACAAATTTAGAACATAGTGAAAGCTCACACTTGTCCAGGCCCCTGTTCTCTAACTCACACTTAAAATTAGTGGGCCGGTGAGATGGTTCAGGGGAGAAAGCTCTTCACCCAAGTGCTCTCCCCAAAACCCATAAATGTGGTAGGAGAACCACTTCCACAGGGTTGTCCTCAGTCCTCTAGACATCCAGGTGCTTGCCCTCACATGCATGCATGTGCCTGCACTCACACAAGTGCACACACCCTAACGATAACAACGTTTTACAAAATTGGTAAGACACCAAAGGCTTTTGTTTAGATTATAGCTAGAAGTATTTACTGTTTTAGACCTGAAGTGGAAAAATAAATCTAAATTACATTTTTTTCCCTTTTTTGTTGGTTTGTTTTCAAAAGGCTGGTCCACCTTCCTCTGCCTCTTGAATGTTGGGGTTAAGACATGTTCCACTATACCTAGCTCACATTGTCATTTTAAATAAAAGAACACATTGACAAGTACATGCTAACACAAATCATGTTTCCTGAAAAATAAAGTTTCCAAAATAAAAAATACTGATGAAGAAAGGCATGAAGTCACTACGTCTCTGTAGCGGTTGCAGTGTGTTGTTTGGGTAGAAGACTATGAACAATACTCTGCCTTGTGAAGGTATCGCTTTAAAAAGAGTGTCATAGGGGTTGTATGCATATTGTAGATGCTCTTCTTTGAGACTGTATCAGAACTTGACAGGAAGGCTTTTTAAAGGTGAGTTGCACTGTGGAGTCTGGAGCCACCACGATGCATTATCCATAGTCTGTTCCTTGCAGATTTTCTGGCATGTGTATGTATAAGTTACGTGGAAAGCAGAGGCTCACCGGAATAATGAGGGTCTGCGGCACATTGACATGATCCATCATGTGATTTTGAGATGTCACTATGAATCTCATAAGAAACATGCTTGAGTTTTTAGAAAGCTGTTGGGCTCGTAGTATAGGTACCGTTTCACCAGAATTCTATTGGTCATTTAAAATCTTGAATTTATTATAAAAACATAAATGTGAATTGTTTTCTTTAAAGTGAGTTTCACATTGTTTGTATTTGAAAATATTTGCCATACTCAAGTCCGATTAGCTTTGATGTGTCTAGAATTCATTCAGGTAAAGTGTTTCCTAAAGAAAGTAGCTATTTCATCTGAGAAGTCAAACATTCATACAAATATTCATCCGAAAGATAGTCATTATATCTTAATTTGCTGGAAGTTATTTTATATACATTTCCAATTGTATCACAGAAAATACTAAAAGATAATTATTAGAATAATTCAGTAAATAATATAAGCAATTTTTATTATATCCCCAAGCACATTCTTAAATGAAGCA